TTCCTTGTATGTGCAAACATACTGGCAATAAAGCTCTTTCTGTCTTCTGATATGCGTGTGTGTAATATACAGTAGGCATACTACAGTATATATGAAAATGCATATTTTTCAATTAAAGAGAACTTCTATAATAAATATGGACTTCTTTGGGTGCTTGACACTTCATTGGTCATTTTGTGTTTTAAGACTGATATTCAAGGTTATGAATACTCTGGAAGTTACTTAAATGTAAATACGACTTTCCTTATTGATCACGTCTTCCCTCAAGTAAAATGCACGTTTTCTTGCGTGACTGGATGTTGGAATCACGTTGTTTGCATTCGCTCAAACTGATTTGCTGGAATCGAAACGCGGTCGTTAAAAAACCCAACTCCGTTAGCGCGAGTCCCTATGGCTGTGAAGCGGGAGCGACCAGCTGGCAGAGGATTCCGCTTGGTCTTAAAGCCTCCCTGGAACGGCTATGTTCACAAATCAAACACTTGTCAAAAAAAGAATGATTAATTCTCAATTTAGAGTTTGTTATTCGTATATGGTCTAGGTGTTCATACGGCATAGCCTATGCCTTAAATACGGGACAAACTGCGTTCCGTATAGCTTTCATACGGAACGCTTCTTTGATGCCTTAAATACGGGACGATTCCGTATTATACGGAACGGTTGGCAACCCTACTGGCAATGATATAACTGGCAAACTAAATATTGTGTGTCTTCTGGTGAAAAATCTTAAACAAGGTTTGCTGGCCTAGAAACTGGTCCTAGCTAAGATGGTCTCCCAGTCTGACCAGCTGAAAGTGCACAAAACCCATCTAAAACTGTCGACAGATCAGTCAGGCCGGTCTGGGAGACTAGCAGATCAGCCTAGGCTGACTGAAGATGTTTTTCAGCTGGGTTGACATCTTTTATAAATGGCGCTTCAGTTTCGCGGGGATGTCTTATGAATAATAATGTTTAAATAATAATCTTATAAATAATTAATGTTACACATTAGGTATATGGGTACTTATTATTTAGCTTTCCTTCTTCGAAGCACAACATCATTCATTCTGTACCCGCATCTGCTTTCTCCAAACATAACCGTCAGCATAAATGCATTTGAGGATGAACGAGAATCCTGACAGAGAATATGCTCGCAATAGCTTGAACGTTATTGCCCCCATGCGATCAAACTCTGAATAGCACGTATTTTTGTTTGTGGCGGTTTTATTTAGTATTACAATTAGGTTTTATTTTTATATTTTCAGTTTTCAATATAGTAATTTTATGATATGATTTTGTCATTATTATTATTTTTATTACAAATAATTCTGTATTGCTTTATTTTTTTATTTCAGTTTTATGTTTTAGAATTGCTTTATTTATTTATTTATTTATTAGTGGATTAGTGTAAAATGGGACACTGACTAATGTGGGACACCTAAGCTTCAGTGCGTTTATCTCTTCTTTTACAACATTAAAGTGAACATGATTGGTGTTGAATTCAAGCAGGGGTGTCAAGTTATTGAAATCATGTCAGCCACTTTAGAAAAGGATGTTTCAAAAGTGGGACAGCATGTTTTGACTGGGAGAGTCAATTATACTATGTAATTCAATTGATAAAATGTGCATTAAGAAAGTTAAATGCCATACATGTATTTTTGTAAAATGTTTGGGCTTATAATGCACAAATATTATTTGTTTTAAGGTCCAGATTAAAAAATTAGAGACTAGAGGACAATGGGTTCCTGGACCACGATGAGTCCATGGTGGCAAGGACTACTAATTTTTGTTATGAAGTGTTTTTATCATTGCAGTTTGCTTAACACATGCTTTTGAAAATACATATTCCATATTCTTAGTATAGAAGTTCAGAACAGTTCTAAAGACATTCCATGTTCCGAAAGTGTAAATCTTTTTGAAATCATTTATGAAATTATTTAGCTATCATTAAGTCAAATTTTACATTTTTGACTTAATAACATGGTCATTATTATTTTTGAATAAATATACACGTATAGTTGTATTTAATTTTCCACATGCGAACATATAGGCTCGTTTTTTAGACAACTGATGAAGACAGCAAGCACACTGTAGGCCTACTAAATTAATTAACCAAAGAAATGCACATTTAACCAGAAATGTTAAATGTGAAATTTGCTTTGTAAAAATTTAACTATTTCTAACCCAAAACATAATGTCCCAGATTTGAGCACGAGCTGTCCCACATTAGCAAATCCACAAATTCTTAAATGATTTGGCACAAGGAGCACTAATATTCCCCTTTAAGTACAATTTTTGAAAAATTTCTTCTGATTTTATAAGGGAATATCTTGGGGATTTTATAATTATGAGACATTTTGATTTATTGTTTTGGCTTCATATGGAAATATGAGACACAAGTCAAAATTGCAAAAAGTGTCCCACATTAACCTATTGGCAAATGTAGTAGGTTGTCAGGTAATCTGTGAATACAGAACATTTGCGTAATGTGAAAAGTTTTACATTTTATAGCTTTAATTTATTTGATAATGTTTATGTATTTTTTCTATACATTTTAGTTATTTAGAATGGAAGCAGTAGATTTAACATGCTGAACATATCCATCATTTGTACAAACTTTCTCAGTTTAAAGCCTGTTTAACAAGAATTCTAAGAATCAATTGTTTTAAAATGATGGTAATTGCTTTTCATTTCAAGTCAAGTCAAGTCAAGTCAAGTCACCTTTATTTATATAGCGCTTTTAACAATACAGATTGTGTCAAAGCAACTGAACAGCATTAATTAGGAAAATAGTGTGTCAATAATGCAAACAATTTTTTGGCAGGCAAAAACTAGATCATCATGCAAACCCTGTGACCGTCCATCATGTTAAAGGGTTAATGGACAAACTTAAACAAAAGAGCAACATGCATTTGTGATGTGACACAGCTGTAAAAGTGAAAGAAATGCAGAAGAGACCAAAGAAAGCCTGAAATACTCACACTGAGGGCAAAACTTCAGAGTTATACATGAATTATGCTAATTAGTGTCTTAATAATACAACAGAGGCACCACTTGTGCAAAAGAAAACAAGACTGTTCTACTAAATGTTCTAAACGTCACTTATTGCTTTGGTGCTAGAACAGAAAAATGGAACATTCCATCTTTTTTTTGTTTACATCAACACTAATACATTTGTAAAACAATCATGTGCTCTGCATGATAACATTCACAAAACACACATTATCCTACCATATGTGGAAAGTGAATATTTGATTTTAAGCTCTGCTTCTTGGCAACATGTAGTCTACAGTATGTACTGTACGTATGTGATAGAAGAATGAGATTCAGAATATGAGAGTGACAATAATGGTTATGAAATTATGAATGAATAATCATCTGTAAGTAAATACAGCAAGCTGAAATCATTTCCATTTTAAGGATTGTTCTGGGTTCAATGCGAGTTAGACGTAACATTATCTGTGGGATAATGTTGAATACCACAAAAATGTATGTCGACTCTTCCCTTTTTTTTAATAATAATAATAAAATCTGGCTTACAGTGAGCCACCCACAGTGGATATGAATGGGGCCCATTTTAAAGTGTTTAAAAGCAGAAATTTAACACTTATAATATCATAAAAGCACTAACATGAATTCTTCTGATAAAATGTATGTATTATTTGAGATGTCAATCTGTTTAAATCATCGTATTTACAATTGTTTTAAGGGTTGTCATGCCAATAATGTTATAAAATTGTAAATAACTTTACACAGAAAAGGTTAGTATTTTTTCACACTGCAATTATACATGTGTATCTTCTTATGGCTACAGTATTGGAACAGTATTTTAATATTTACAAATTGGCCCCATTTACCTCCATTGTAAATGTCACTGTAAGCCAGATTTTTGTTTTTTTAAATAATATTTTTGTCGCAATCAACATTATACCAAAAGTACTGTTGATTGAGCTTAACTTGTACTGAATCTTGAATATTCCTTTAAAAGATTTACAATAATTAAACAAAGGTTATCTTTAATATAGCAGCTCTGAAAGTGTATGATAGCGTATACAAACAATGGCCACCTGTTTCTAAGTGTGCCTGGTATCACCGCAGCCTACTGTGGTGGATGTGGGTAAAAACTCTTGCGCACCTGAAGCTCAGTGTCTTACCCAATACATACCAACAGCTCTACCTACTGGTGGATAGGGAACTTTGTCCTATCGGGAGAGATCTTTCTCCCATCCACATTCAGATAGCTGTAAATATCACAATCAGTGTGAAAGCTGTAAGGTGGTGATCTGTTGCCATGCACACGTACAATCAACATGGTCTTCAGCAGTGCTGGTGATCTTCAGTAACGTCTGGTCGGATGGGCTGAAGGAGACATTGGTGTGAGAATGTGTGAGAAAGAGACCGGCTAAGCAGTTGGCAGTAATGTGACATGGGCTTTAAGGATGAGGAGGTGAAAGGTCATGAGAGTTGAGACGAATGAGAAGCTACAGGTTAACCAGGTGAAGGTCAGAGGCAGTGAAGTGAGGACACAGTGCCATGTCAGGGTTCTTCAGCTGCTTCAGGACGCGCTTGTGGAACTTGGTGCGCACGCGATTGAACTCCATGATGTCACGTGGATCTTCCTCGATCCAGAATCTGTGGAACTCCTGCATCAGATAACCTAAGAAAAATAATTAGAATTAAAACACAGAAAACAAAAAATAAAAAATAAATAAACAACAATACACCTTAAATAACCGTAATATTATATATATATAATATTATAAAAATCTATATAATTTTCACAAATTCTATGTAAAAATATTTTACGTATACAGATAGCATACAGATAGATAGACTGATAGAAATATCAAAATATTGTATTTTTTATGCATTTTTATTTTTAATATTATGTTTTTACAGTAATTGTATAATTTAAAACCAATAATTTGAATTATATAAATTATATAATTTGTCCACAAATATATAATAACTATTATTATTATTATAATACTCTTTTATTGAAGCTTTATTAATAATTTTACTTATATAATTTACATGAATACATAATTATATAATTGTGTAATATTATTTAATAAATCGCCTACAAGAGTTGTTTACACAAGGACAACAATGGCAACATTCTAACACTCACAGAAGGTCTGTTGGAAGTGCACTAGACTTGGTATCTCTGGTGCCACATTGTACAGATGAGTCTTCAGAGCCCCGCTCACCAGCAGGGAATATGCCAGGTCTGTGATGTTTATGCCAACTATGGCAAAGGAGTATCTGCGCCACAAAAGATTTGGGTCAGCACAAAACACAATGTAAAAGAGATCCTTGTTTAGTGTAAATAAGCATCATAAAAAGTTAAGACACTGCCAGTGTTTGTCTGTGTGATTCCATCTGTTCTGTGCTTTAATTGTGTCTGTGTGCGCACATGTCTGCAGCGCAGTTATTGAACAGGCTTCGTGCTGCTACACATCAGAGCTAATGCATCCTGAAAACTCATGACAAGTAGAAGAGCCTGATTCAAATCCTCACACAAAGCATCAGGGTTCAGGCGCTCGGCTACTAATAACTACTGCACACACAGCACAATTATTTTTAACATTCACAGATTTAAGAACTGCTTCTTTGGTTGCTTACTTTGGCACAAATGAAAAGAGTTTATGCAAGAGCTTGCAATATTCTGGACTCACCCAATCGCTTTGTCAAATTTCTTCTTGTCCCAATCAGCTCTGCTCATCTTGCTGTGTGAAAACCCAAAATGTTAGAGTGTATCCACCCAGTCCTGTGCTAATAGTGCTTAAACGGTGACTATAATGCAGTCAATTATAAACGACGACAATTACACACGTAAGATTGACTGGAGAAAAGAGAAAGCATTCACGGTTACTAACCAACGTTATAATGGAGCATAATGCCTTGTGTTTAGAGTGAGGTGAGGTTGGACGTTTCGAGATTAAAAAATAACAACAACAACAACAACATAATACAGCCATTAGATTGAAGCAAAATGATCAAATTAATTTCTTACTGAGAGAGAAAAGATGGAGTACCTGGCTTCCTCTTTGGAAACGTTCCTGCGCATGACAGTGATGGGAATAAAAAAGAAGCAGGAACAGAAAAAAAGGAATGTGTGGGTGCATGATGTGCATGATGGTAACAGAGCATGCTGAAGGTGTGATCGACTGCACGGCTTGAAAAAAAATAACCTGTTAAAATAAACATGGTATGCACATACAGCATAAAGCATTGCACTGATAAGAGCTTTCTGGGGAACTACACCCTAACCGACATCCTGTGGCAAGATCCTGGTGCTGTGTGTTGCTTTTGGTGCGTGTTTGCTAATGTGTGTTTAAAGCTTAAATGTGCCTTAAAGCCCATCAGTGATATTATGGGTACTTTTTTTATATATAAATAATTGAGTATATACAGTAGGAACCACTCAAAAGGACTATCTGAAGGATCTGACCTGTGTTTGGGCTGCAGGGAGTCATGAAGAACTTGGAGAGCGGTGGCTTTGTCATGCTCTGCAAAATACCTGCAAATAAAAGAGGGAAAATTAGCCATTGAATTGTTCTGTTCAAAAACCTATGAGAGACTATGTAGACTGCATTTTAAGGCCACATACAGTAAGTGCGCTCCTCCTGACATCGTGTTTCAAAAGCTATGCCTCTTAATTATGCTACCTGAGCAAATGCTAAGGCACTGCAACAAGCTCAAAGAAAAATCTAAGGCGGTAAACAAAATTATTAAAAAAAAAATACATATATTTCACTCATTAGTAAAAAGTAGTGATAAAAACTAGTTTAATTTAATTAAAAAAATTATTTTACCTAATGTATGTTATGTAGGCTTTTTAAGTATGGTGTATCTATTGATAACTCATAAAACTAGTTTAGTGTAATTTAAAAACATATTTTTTCCTATGTATGTTATGTATTTAATGCTTAATAGAGTATGGTGTTGCTAGCTTAACAACATGCTAACATCAAAATCTTTTGCTAACTGATAAAAACTAGGTAAGTCAAAAACTTATCTTACCCAAAGTTATGTATTTATTGCTTAATCGAGTATGGTGTTGTTAGCTTAGCAATATGCTAATGTCAAGTCTATTGCTAACTAATAAAAGCTAGTTCAGTGTAATTCAAAAACTTATTTTAATCAATGTATGTTATGTATTTAATACAATAGAGTATGGTGTTGTTAGCTTAGCAATATGCTAATGTCAAGTCTATTGCTAACTAATAAAAGCTAGTTCAGTGTAATTCAAAAACTTATTTTAATCAATGTATGTTATGTATTTAATACAATAGAGTATGGTGTTGTTAGCTTAGCAATATGCTAATGTCAAAACCTATCGCTAACTGATAAAAACCAGTTCAGTGTAATTTAAGAATTATTCTACACAGTGTAAGCTATGTAGGCTATATAATGTTTAGCCGATAAACAAAATTATTTAAAAAAAAATACATATATTTCACTCATTAGTAAAAAGTAGTGATAAAAACTAGTTTAATTTAATTAAAACAATTATTTTACCTAATGTATGTTATGTAGGCTTTTTAAGTATGGTGTATCTATTGATAACTCATAAAACTAGTTTAGTGTAATTTAAAAACATATTTTTTCCTATGTATGTTATGTATTTAATGCTTAATAGAGTATGGTGTTGCTAGCTTAACAACATGCTAACATCAAAATCTTTTGCTAACTGATAAAAACTAGGTAAGTCAAAAACTTATCTTACCCAAAGTTATGTATTTATTGCTTAATCGAGTATGGTGTTGTTAGCTTAGCAATATGCTAATGTCAAGTCTATTGCTAACTAATAAAAGCTAGTTCAGTGTAATTCAAAAACTTATTTTAATCAATGTATGTTATGTATTTAATACAATAGAGTATGGTGTTGTTAGCTTAGCAATATGCTAATGTCAAAACCTATCGCTAACTGATAAAAACCAGTTCAGTGTAATTTAAGAATTATTCTACACAGTGTAAGCTATGTAGGCTATATAATGTTTAGCCGATAATGGTATTGTGTTGTTAGCTTAGCAACATGCTAATATCAAAATCTATTGCTATTATAATAGCACAAGCCTACAGTACGTAGTAGAGCATTTCAGATTGGTCTTTTATGAGTTTCCATGATGGTTAGGATGTTTCCAGAAGGCCTGTGTAGTTACTAGACAGCAAAGACACGCTTTGTTCGGGAACAGAGTTAAGATCTGGTATGATGTAGATAACAAAATTTCACTCTAGTACATACATTTAAATGACTATAACGATCTAATGTTTTTGTCCTGATTTCACTTCAGCAGATTCTCTACTCACAGTAGGTTGTGCAAACCCAGGAGACCCATGCCCCTGAAATCAGTCTTGGGGTCGTTTCCTTGGAAACCAATCTCACACCATTGCTTTGAGATGCGTCCAGAGAGAGGAGAATCAGGACGGAGTTCCTTCCACAGCTGGTGAGTGAAAAGATATTTGAGAAAGGCATCACTATTAGAGACAACATTGTGCTACATTGTGAATGGTAGCCACCTATATATATTTATTAGAAACAGTAATCAAAAGGCTGGCAACCGCTAATAGTGAGTTTCTGTTGATACCTTCATGAGCATCTCCTCATGTGCTGGGTTTTCACAGGCATACGGCTCTCTACGCAGCTTCTCCACCTCCACTACTAGGTTTCGGTAACCCACGATCTGGAGCAGGCAAGCCTGGAGAGAGATGCCAAGCCTGGAAGAAGAAAAGAAACAGCATATGTGCTCAAAAAGTAAGAGTTATCTGTAAATGCATACACTGTATCAGGGAATGATGGGATCCTTACTGTGGGTTAGTGTCAGGGTTGATCTTTTTCAGGGACATTATATCATCGATAGTCTTTTCCACAGAATCTGGGTGAACGTTGATGGCAGACTGCAAAAGCTATGGACGTACAGTCATTTCAAAAAAGAGTGTTCCTTTATTAGCTAATATACAAAATAACAGCATAATACAGTATGTAAAATATTTAGCCTTCTTGTAGTTTGAGATGGGCCTTAAATCAGCTTATAATTAGTGTTGTTATTGTTAAATAAAACTAATAGTATTAAATAATTATTTTAATTGAAATAAAGCTGAAATAAAATAAATGTTAGATGAAAAGTAAAAAAAACTAAATTAAAAACGATGCCTTGGCAAGCAACTGAAATAAGCTTAAGTACTAAAATGAGTAAAACTGAAATAAAAACAAATTAAATAAAGCTAAAACTAAGTTAAATACAAACAATATGTAAAATATGCAAAAATTACATCAAATTAAAATGTAAAATACTATACAAATAAAAGCTATTATAAGCAAAATATGAATAAATAATATAATGGTATTTAAATAATACTAGTAAATTTACATAAAATTACAAAATACATACCATTTAATATTATTATTAAATATATAAATAAAAATACATTAATACAATAAATGTGTAAAAAAATAAAATTAAATTAAAAAAATAATTTTACTTCATAAACTTCATGACTTACCTCATGTTTAGAGCATTTGAGTGAGGATTCTGTGAAATTAAAAGAAACATAAAATATCAAATTTTTCCCACATACAGCCAGGTTACAGATGTAGTGTTTTTTGCTGTAGATGTACTGTTAAAATTACTGATAGTATTTACCAATCTTGAGCGTCCTTCGAGCACCGGGTTTGTTATTGTAACAGATGCGTTGAAGCTCACATCGTCCAGTCAACTTCCTGATGACAAACTTCAGGCCCCTCCACAAACACTTACAGTACAGGAACACCAGTAACTGGGTCAGTACCCTAGAAGATTCAGAGAAATAAAGAGGCCTGAATAAAACGACACAAGTCCAATACTGATGATAGGCCTAATACACCTGTGTATTCTGTCCCAGAATAAAGCGTACTCACTGAGGTATTTTGAAAGCTCATTATATTTGAGTATTCTAAACCTGAACTGAATAACCATCAGATGTGTTTCCCATGAACACTGTTCGAGCTGTTCAAAGAGAAATGCACATTATTTTTCTCTTATAATGCTCTGATGCCTACAAAAGCTAGGCCTAATCCCCATTGTAAAAATTCGAGACAGAGATAAGTGGGCCACGATGATGAAATGGGTCACAGTTCTACAAAAATCTGCGTGATGAAAGCGAAATATAATTTTGAAAGTATTATTCTTTAAACAGGTTTCATGTCCTGCATGTATCAAGCAGTATGTGTAAACCAAAGGACTTACTGACATCTACTATGCTTCTGTTTTGAACCAATGCATGGATGAATCCATCCATCTATATTATATACTAATCTAATTGCAGGCTAATTCACTACAGGAAACGCATTGGACTAGGAATAAACCTGTTTGAATCCGGTTGCTGATTACGTTGAGAGTTACTGCTCACATGATAGACTCGCCTCCCCATCGGCATGAAATTAATTTGTGTTTTGTAAAACAGGTTATTGTCTATCAAAGCTGTTGAACAGAAGTGACGTGTCCCGAAGGTAATTTCCTTTTCCAGGACTTTAATAAAAGCCAGTTCTGATATTGCATTATAGGGGTCTCTACCTCTAAATGTCTAGGTGAAATACAAATCTATACTGGTACATTTGGAGCAAGCTCTTATTAGGTTTAGTGCCTTTCAACATAATTTATTGTAAACAATATAATTAAGAGGAGTGGCTGATAGGAAAGCACCTAAAACTGAAAGGCAGGGGACGACTCACCAAGGAATTGTTTATTTAAAAGGTATTTATCAGTTTTGTACATTTTCATAATCAGTATTTTTAAATATATAATAAAATAAATAATTAAAGATAATAACACTAATTAGTTTATGTTTATTAATATTTTATAATTAGGATATTTTAACAATAATACAAAATACAATAATAAAATAATAATAAAAATGTGAAGCAGACTATGTTCCATAATAGCGATGTATTTATCAGTTTTTTACATTTTCATAATCAGTATTTTTAAATATATAATAAAATAAATAATTAAAGATAATAACACTAATTAGTTTATGTTTATTAATATTTTATAATTAGGATATTTTAACAATAATACAAAATACAATAATAAAATAATAATAAAAATGTGAAGCAGACTATGTTCCATAATAGCGATAATATATATATAGCCTATATATATATATATATATATATATATATATACACACACACACAAATTGTTATTATTGTGCAATAATGCATGCAATTTAAACTCATATTATTCTGATGATGATGATGATGATATTAATAATAATAATAATACCTAATAATAATACCTTATAAGAATAATTAATTTTCTGTTTTTGTTTCAACATCCATGACATAATTGGGCCATACTACAAAGCATGCAATAAAAAAATCCGCATAACGGTAAATTTAATGTGCATCTTTAAAAATGGAAGATGACAACGATGATATTTCAGCTTCTAAGCAATAAGAAGCGCTCTATCACTATTAAGCACTAAGGACGTACTTACCTTAGAAAATGCTTCATCGCGATTGTCTGCTTTGCTACAAGTGTAACTCACATTCACGAATGGTCTGACCACCTGCACAAAACATAATTCAAAATGAAAACTACAGTGTATCTTTATTTAATCGTTGTATTGCATTCAACCGTCTTGAATACCAATTGCGATAATGTCTCGAGGTCGTCAGCAGTGTGGCGTTAGGCGGATTAAGACGTTGCCGTGGGCAACCATGTTCA